CATGCTCCCTGGGAAGGCCACTAACAGTTATTATCTCAAAGCTTGTTCACTCGATTTCCAGAAAAAGGTACCACAGTTCAAGGTGGATACTAGAATAAGGAACTGATCTTTCTACTTCAGATAAAGATGCATCATTCCAAAACTGTCTAATTTTTTAGCTGCTTTACTTTCCTCAGCTGTTTCTGAAATCAGGGGACTGTGCTCCCCCATGCAGCTGCGATGACGATCCAGAACACGGGGGAGTCTCACCTTCACAGGTCATCATTGGTCCAGGCTCAAATCCCTCAACACAGGTGCATTCAAAACCTCCTACCACATTTCTGCAAGTTCCATTTCCACAAGGATTTCCAACAGCACATTCATCGGTATCTGTGAGCAGTTAAATCAAGGCAGGAATAGAGGGTTACACTCAACCAGAAAGTAAAAAAACTTACGGTTATTTATATCTGCCAGTTTAAAATCCAAGAACTCACTTAGGTTAGTGAATTATCTATCGAGTCCCACCAAAATTTGGGACTGGCAGAGGTTATCTGACCCAAGCCCCCTCTCAGCGCAGAAGGAACTTGGAGCAGCTTGCTGAGGCCCTGCCCAATTGGCTTTTGATATAGATATCCCACAGTATTAGATTATATCCCCACTGTTCCTTAATTAGGAACTTGGGGATTCAAACGATGCTTTAAAATGGAAGCTGAAACAGCTACACTTACCCACACACTGAGCTCCCTCCAGGATGTAACCATATGGACATTCACAGCGGAAAGACCCATCTGTGTTGATACACTGCCCAAATTTACAGTTATCTGGATCACGGCACTCATCCACATCTTGACCAGAAATACAGAGAACACATTTAGTGCACTTAGATTTAGACCTCTCTCAAAGAGCAAGTTCTGTTATGGCAGAAAATATTCCTGAGCTCACAACAAAGAATATTAATCTTATTTGTAATTTGATTTGCTGGGATAAGGCACACAATCCAACTTGCAGGTCAGCTTTCAGAAAGCAAAACAGGAACTGATTCCAAATGCAAGATAAAATACCTCCCTGAGCAGGGCCACAGAGAGAAGAGGAGATATCAAAAACAGTTGCCAACCAGCTTCCCTTAAATGCAAAACTTTAGCCAATACAACTGAAGTGCTGTTTGTCTTGGGAGAGAATATAATGCACTGAGGGGATCAGGGAAGTAACTTCCCTAATCTGGTAGTGTTTGCACTACTGCAGAATTAAAAGCTTTCACTGTAAATAACCTACACATATTCTACATGAAAGAGCCAGAATATGATACGGCCCATTTGTTAGATCACACACAACTTTCCTAGAAAGTCAGCTCAGTCTAAATTAAAAAGCAAAATGTGCTGCTCTAAAACAGGATTAATTTCCGATATATGAGAGACTCATGTTTGAATTTATCTGTACATATATCTGTATAAATAATTGAAAATAATGTCTACACATTTCTAAATTCATGGCTTTAGAAAATACTTGCAGAGGTGTTTTTTCAGTTGGGAGGGAGGATAGCTATGGGTAGCAAATGGCATACTAATGGGTAACATTTCAGTCACTTACCCAGCCTTGCATCACCAGGTCCAACAAGGATGCCAATTCCAAATGGACAAATCTGCCGGAATGCCTCTGTAAAAAACAATCAAGCAAACAAACAAGCAAACAAGAGAGTCAAATTAAATCCTGCCTTGGCAATCAACAATACCACAAGCTAGAGAACCACTAGCAGTGATTCATATCCTTCCAGTCAGATACTGGCAGCAATCCTCACTATTTTAATGCACTTAAATGTGTTTT